AGTGCGGTCCCAGGCGGGGGGCTTCGCCGCCCCCTCCTAGCCGCGCGCGCGCCGCTTCGCCCCCGGTCTGCCCCCCCCCCCCCCCCACCCCCCCCCCCCCCGCACACCCCCCCCGCCGGCACTCCCCGCCACCCCCCCCCCCCGGGCACTCCCCCACGCCCCGCCCCGCCGGCGGCCCCACCCCCCCTTCGCCCCCGGTCTGCCCCCCCCCCCCCCCCCCCCCCCCCCCCCCGTCGTCGCCCGCTGCCCGTGCCGGGCCCGGCCGGGAGGGCCCCGGCAGTCCCTCGGGCCTCCATCAAGCAAGCCACACAGACATTTCTGGCAAAGGACCGGGCCTGGTTCGCTACGCCCGCGCCAATGGCCGAGCCGGTCACACAAGCACACCCGCACGCGAACGTGCGGCACGGACAGATCTCACCGCTTGAAGCCCCCAAAAGGCAGGGGCGGGCGGATCAGACCGGGGCCGATGCCTGTGGTCGCCCGGAGGGAGCGGCCCGGAGAGGCAGCGACCCGGTCTTTGACAGGGGGCAGTGTCTCGATCTTTCGCGCTCTCTCTCACGCGCGGGCGCCTTCGCCCCCTTGTCCTGGAGGGGGGGGGGGACCCTTCACCTGCGCTCCGGTGGAGGAAAGAAGGGAAGGCACAAAAAAGGGCGGACTTTCTGCCGGGGTGCAGGGCTCGGAGGCTGGCACGGCTCTCGGCGGGCGCGGGCCGGATTCCCGAAGTCAACAGGGCGGCGGCGCATTCCGGGGCGGGGTTTCGCGGGAGGCGTCCGCGTCGCCACGAGATCACTCCATCACATGTCACCACAGTTAAGACCCGAGCTCCAGATCGGACGGCAGTCCGCCCGCGGGGGGCGCGCGAGGCCGGGGATCCGAGGCAAATTTCCTTTCGGCGTCCGACCAGGGTACTACCACGGTAGCCAACATGCCCCGGGCGTCAGCCCCCGGGCGGCGAACAGGAACCCCCCCCCCCGGGTACGGTGCGGCCCACAGGTGCTCCGCCTCGACTCGCCCCCGCCCCTCGCCCGCTGGTCACAGAGGCGAGGCATTGGGCCCGTTGGCTCCCGCCCCCCCCCCCCCCCCCCCCCCGCCGCGGCCCCGCCCCCGGTGGGGGGGGGCCCCCGGCCCCTGCGGCCCCCGGGCCCCGGGGGGGCGGGGGCGGGGGGGCGCGGAGCCGGGCGGCCGGGAGCCGGGCGGCGGGTCAG